ATCGTTGATTTCTGGGCAGGATATTAAAAATTAATACAAACCATTTATTTTATCTCAATATATCTGTAGGATTTAGAGTAGTATTTTACACACCCGTGAAATAAATGTTATTATGCGCTAATAGAAGTTAAAGGGAATTTTTTTTCAATAATGAGCAATAATGGCAAAAAGCGCCAAAAACTAGACTTTCGTATGAGTTTTGATCCCAATTTTCGTTTTGGGTTAACACTCAAAACCTTTTTCAAACAGTTAGAAACTGATGTACTATGATAAAATGCCTGTTTGAAGCGGTATTTTCAAGTGTACAAAGATGTTTTGTTGCATTTGTGTTAGAATGTTGCTTTGTCAGGCTTTTTTATAGAAAATGTATGGGAAGTAAGCCAATGAAGGCCTAAACCTCATTTTCGAATAACATTTTTGCTTTGGGTTAACACTTTGATTCCACTTTCATCGGTCATCTCCACTTCCAAACAAGTTAAACTTTCTGAATAACAAGATTTTAGCCTTGTACAACAGCCTTTCTTCAAGAAAATAGTTTTTGGCGCTCACTGCTTAAATACAAAAATAATTCTCTCTTATTAGCTAAATTTTGTTTCACGAGTTTATGAAAATCACTCTATATCACTGATTTACACCTTCTGAAATAATTTTTACACCAAAAACGAGGCGAACATAAACAGCTTCTCAGTGCTGTTTTCATAAGGTTTTAATAGAGTGAAGTCACTAAACTCGTGAAATAGATATTTTTTAGTAGACCCTAATTTCATGTTTTTTGTGTGTGTCTATTTGACTAGAGTGACCACAGTAAATCCGTGAAACACTAATTACTAAATAGTACAAGATAGTGCTAGTTAAACAATAGAAAACAATGGAATTTGCATGAAATTGTGCTAATTAGTATTACTAAAGTTTCACGGATTTACTGTGGTCACTCTATTACACGTTGTCTAATAATTTTTATTCCACGAGTTAAATGCCTTCACTCTATTGTCACGTTGGAAACTATATACCTTTAGATAAATTAAAAATATTATTAACTACATTAAATAATTATTACTATCCATAAACATTCCGTATGCTGCAGAGCAAATACACACTGATTCACTTTAAAACAATTAGTTATAGCAACAGGAAAAGAACAGTTCAACGGCAGGAATACAGGCAGTTGGCCACTTAGAAGTAAGATCTAGAAATTCGAACAGGGATAGATATAAAGATGTTTACGGATTCTTGTAATAAGTAGTAATGACAGCATTCCCAAGAGAGTCACGAGACAAAAACATGGCAGCCATCTTGGTGCGATTAACAATGGATGCTACTAAGAATCCTTCGTTAAACAACACCAACATGACCGCGATGATGTAACGTGCAATCGAAGAATACGACTGGTACATATCCCTTGGGAAATTGTCTTCACAACAAATTAAATTTTTAGTTCGATTTTAGTTAACCAAAATTAAGATTATGTCTTTATAGTCGTAGTATCACTAAAAACCCTAAGGAGACATTTTACCATGATTCAATATCATGAGCCAAGGATATCTCTGGATATTATCAATCTCATTATCTCGTTTGTCCCTGTAGAAGAAATAAATATCATACAAGCATTAGTAGATGCAGAAGAACACGTTGAAAATGTCATAAGCATGGAATGGTGTGTTGAATGTCTCAGGTAGACCTTGAATATGATTGACATATGTCAATCAATTCTTTCATCTACTCTAACACGTATTGTAAATATTGCACAAGCAAATATATAATTTGTATATCTAAGCTTCGATTGACACATATCACTCATACCTACTTTACAATATCTGTGAACTATTGTAATGTAAAGTATGCCATGCCTTGTATGTGTAGTCTTTGATTGACAGATGTCACCCATATTTGCCTTACAATATTTGGTGCGCATTTGTATTGTATGCCTTGTATGTGTAGTCTTTGATTGACAGATGTCACTCATTATACCTACCTTCTAATATTTGATGTACCCTCGTGTCCCGTACATATTGCTGTACAGGGTAACCCTTAAGATATCCAYACCCGCCATGTAACTGAAGACAATCATTCGTTATCTAAAAACCAAGCAAGACYACGTTATTTTAGGTGTACTTTAAAGTCCCGTAGATGGGTCTTTGGGTCGGCTTAAAAACAGGGGGGCTTATAGAAGGGAGGGGGAAACGCAGTAATAATATAATATGTCTTTTAGAAATCATTTCTAAGGTACTATCTTGCTACAAACTGACAGGGGCAGATCCAGGAACCGGGGAAAGTGGGCGGCGCGGAAAATTTCGGCGCTAGAGAAACCTCTATACTGACCAAAATCAAATGGGGTGGGGTGGGGGGAGGGGGAACAATGACCGCAGACCCCTGAATGGACCCACCCCTAAATCCGTTTCCTGACTGACCTGAAAACAATGGTCCGTTGCGAACAGTTTTGCCATTCCGCAGAGGGAAGAAGCGTTTGGCGAATGACTGTCTAAGCTTCTGGCAGCGTGTCTAACCATCAGTCGAGATGCCGTTAGGTTGGTTGCCATTTCTGCCAACTTGAATTGCACATGCTGAAATAAACACAATGAAAATAGAAATAAACCTATAGCCTCGATAGTGGGCGTATAACTTCTTTTATGACTAGTAATGATAAAAGGGTAAATTATACACCGTGAAAAGATGAAAAAACTTTCTGACGTTTCGGACGCTAGTCCTTCGTCGGCTACTATTATAACGCCTTTTTGTGTCTCTAAAGCTATTTTTTGTAGTTGTCCCTTTTTTTTTTTGACTGCGCGAGAATTACGGCCAAGGCACGAAATGAGGGGTATCGATGTTCAGCCCCTAATCCCTTCCTCCCAGGTGATATTACGCTAGCTACTAGCAAAGCAAAGTGTCCCTTTTACAACAACTTTGATCTTGAAAAAAGCCCCAGCACCTTTCCTAAGGTCTGTGATGCTTAACGTACGACTGACCATTTACCTGATTTTCCATAAGAGGTTTTCCAAACTGTTTTCTGTCTTTAACATATTGGATTGTCTTTTCTATCGCTATTTGAGCAGCACCAAGTGAACAAGAAGCTGAAATATAGGAAACACATAAGTTGAAAACAAGCGGYGTGTGCGATATAAAACCGTAAGCGTCTCTTTTTCGTGATACAAACCAATCTCACAGCTTTTCAAGCACCATTTAAAAAAACTACATATTTGTATTATAAATTCAAGGACTTTTCAAGGGCTTCAAGGGTCTGCACGAACCACGAGCTTTGGAACGCAAAGCGTAGCCGATAATCCAAATGTCATGAAACCTCTGGTGAAAGGCATAGTTTGAAACTAAATAACTTTCAACATTTTTTGTGCTCAGATTTACATTGACGCAAAGCCCATAGTTGTATAACAATAACATAGACTTGTTTGGTCACTAGGGGCAAGGTAAACGTGAAGATAATTTTGYAATAAAAATAATTCTTACCTATATTAATACGCCCTCCATTAAGTCCTTTCATTGCAATTTTAAAACCCTGAATAGCAAAAGATAATTGCTTTTTAACCAAGTTCTTATTTTAAATCTTGTTTACAGCTCAGCTTAGCTGAAACAATATATAGCATTTGTTTTGGTATTAGCAGATACTTTCAATCAGAATACACAGATAATATTTTAAAATGCTAACATGAAACTTGCTCTGGCTATACGACCTGTAATCTCGCTCTGTCCCGCACCGTGCCGTGTTCTTTCCATTTCAAGATGCGCGTCCAAAGTATGGCGTGCTCAGATTCGAAAATGAGGCATTTCCGGTCAAGATTTTACGCTCGCTATGGAAAAMACATACAAATTTTGAATTTATGTTAAAAGAGAAATACTTTGAAGTTTCTTATAGTTTGGGAGCAGGATAAAAAACTCTTTTGGGAAAATATAGCTTATTTCGGACGAAAATGCCCGCTTTCATATCTGCGCCTGCGATATTTGTAAAAGTGTGTCCGTTACGAGGTCGAGGAAGAAACTGGGTCGAGTTGACATATTTCCATAATGGCGTCTATTTCGTCCCCTAAAACAGCACCACAATGCGCTGCAATACCAAACCTAGTTTTTTCCGTAACCTTGAAATGGTTAATAGAATGTACATACATCGCCTTCTTCGCCAATACGATTAGACACTGGTACTCTACAGTCCTCGAATATAACTGCTCGAGTCGGCTGTGAATTCCATCCCATCTTAAAAGAAAAAACATGAATACTTATCGTATATATAGAGTAATGAAAATCTCGACRAGTAACGAACCATGTAGACTATATATGTGTAAGAAAATATAGAGACAATGAATTTGCAAACCTTTTTTTCTTTATCGCCAAAAGAAAGTCCTTCGGTTCCCTTTTCTACGAGAACACTAGAGATTCCTTTTGGTCCTGAGAAAAACAGCAATGAAATAAAAAAAGAAAAAGTATGAGTAGGACTGTTAGTAGGCTTCAGCAAGGAGAAAAGACATTCTCCAAGGACAATGAGTGTGAAGAATAAAGGAAAACTGAAAAGAAGAACTTGGCACTTGCCTCTTAAGAGGCAAATCTATTTTTTTACTTTGATAAGGTGGTTGCCTAATTCTCCCGAGCCAAGGGCTCATGAATAAAGCGCTTGCAGGTGCGCACGCACGTAACCTTCTCAGACTATCAGTGCTCCTCATTATATGGGTATTTAAGCTAAAGCTATACACAGAACAGACAGAAGTCAAAACAGACGTGGAGATTCTGAGGATTGAACAGTGGACCTTAAGCTCTGAAGGCAACGCACTAACCAACTGAGCTACACTTGCTCCTATCCTATTCCTTTCATATGTGAAAAGTAATTGTATGCATATAGCAGCTGCAACAGTAGCAGCAAGAGAGCATGTGCATGTTACGTCACATCCACCATCTTGTTTGACGATAACAAAGCAATCCTCGTTAACTTATGCTCTTGTTAGATCAACCAACATGATGGTTGATTCATTGTTAGTCATATCTCAGTGGAATTTGAATCACATGGTTGTACACAAGGTATAATCTTACCTGGTTCTCCAGTTCGTACCATGCAAAGGTACACATCAGTATCCCCACCACCACTGATGAATGCCTATCAACAATAACCATCATTAGCCAATAAGGTACCACCAAAACTGAAGATTTGGTAATAAGGCAAAATATAACTTATTTGAAACCAAGGGCTTGTCACTGGTTTTTTGAGTTATTTTCAACTTTTCTGCCGTGATGCGACCTTCATCAGTAATATGTAGGCCATGTAAATTACATGGTATTGAAGCAAAAAGAAGCAACAAATCAATAACAAAATGACTTAGTTTTATTAATTTTTTTTAGAGATTCAGAACTGTGCTTAATGCTATCTCTTCCCTTTAGGGCTGCCATTGTATCTTGTATTTTAAGTCATGCATTACRACAAAATCACATTGAAATAAGCTTAAAAAAATAAATTATATTTCATATGGTAGAAGTATGTGGTACTCCTTTAAAATACCTTGGATCCATTAAGTACATAGTGGTCACCATCTCTCTTGGCTGTGGTTGACAATGAAGAAGCATCACTTCCACTATCTGGAACACAATCAGGATAACAAAAACTTGCAATGTTGCTTAAAGTACCAAGGCAATAAGTGAAATAGTCTATAGAAGAAAAGGAGATTTCTATGACATCAGTATTAGTAGCAGGACTGAAGTGAGACCAAATTGTTGACTGAGGCAAACGGGCAGTGAAGGCAGGAGCAACGAGGGGAAAATTTTGTAACTGAGACCCTAGAAAATGCAATTTACAGAGTTTTGAGGAACATTTGTGACATTTCACAAAGGCAACTGCCTCGCTTGCCTCATGGTGGCTACGGCCCTAAGTAGTAGAAATTTAGATGGGAAGCTTGCTTGGCTCTTACCTGGTTCCGTCAAACAGTAGGATGCGAATTTCTGAAGTGAAAATATATTAAATCAATGCTTAAGTGGAAAATTGAAAACAATAAATGGATGAATGAAAAATGAACAAATGGATGGATGGATGGAGGGAGGGAGGGAGGGAGGGATGGATGGATGGATGGTTGGATGGATGGATGGATGGTTGGATAGAGGGATGGATGGTTGGATAGAGGGATGGATGGAGGGATAGAGGGAAGTATGAATAGATGGAAAAAGAGAAGGAGAGGGAGAAAAAGGAAGGGATGGATGGATGAAGTATAGCAGTACCTCCATTGTTGCTAAATGTGGTATATATTTCTCTCTGTGCTTCTTTGAGCCAAAAGTATCAATCATCCATGTTACCATGCTAAATAAAACCAACAGAACAAACAGGTTTAGCAACAAGATGACACGACCTCAAGACGGAGATGCAACACCACTAATACACATGTGTATAAATATAGAGAGAGGCTTTGCACCATTATGTGATGGCAGCCATGACAGGAGGAACAACAGTAGAGTCAAAGAGTAGAGTTAAACAGTAGAGTCATTATCCCTTGGGAAACTGAGTTCTCATGAAAATTTGATTTAACAAGATTCAATTGTTCCTGCCTCCTGTCATGGCTGCCATCACGTGATGGTGCAAAGCCTCTATATAAGCAGAGTATGCAAATATGAGAATACAGGACTTGTCATACTCCTCTAGTTTAAGCAAACATTCCTTAAATGATRATAATATTTTGCTTTGCTTTTTTAGTGATCTATCACTTACTTGTGAATACTCAAGTAAGCTGCCGTGCTTACACATCCAGTAGACAGAGCTTCAAATATCACAGAGGCATCCATTCTGGATAAATTGCTTCCACCATATTCTTCTTGAGCATAAATTGCTATAAAAACAAACAAACACTATGACATTCAAGACTGGGACAAGGGCTGCTCGAATTACAACRAAAATTTCTTAGACTTTGGTAATTGTAAGTACTGATGTCTCTAAATCTAGCATACATACCTCCAAATCCAAGTGATGCTGCCTTCTTCAAGACATCTTTAGGGAAATGTTCCTAAGACATTATAAATAGGATTTAGATACCATAAGAACCAGCTTACACAAGTAAGTTCTGGGCTTATACTCATTTGTATGGGTTTTTTGATGACTTATAAGYAGGAGGCTTAAACTGATGGGAAAAAAAGAGTTTGAGATGGAGAGGAATAACCAACTTTTCAGCTGGAAATATATTTGCATCAGCAGACTAGTGGGCCTGTTATAACCATTGGGGCTTACGGAATGTACATTCTTTATTGGGGGGGGGAGGGGAGGGCTGGGTGGTTCAGTGGAGAGGGTCATACTGTAAGTAAAGAATTGAACATTTTGTGGAGGGTCAAACCTTTTCATTTTGAAGAAAGCTGTTTCCTTGTTAACAATCATTAGAGGGTCAAGAACTAAAAAGTTACTGCAAATCCCACATCCCCTAACACATGTACCTTCCCTAATAACACTGAGAATCTACATTAAAAATAATGAGAAGAATCATAATATTCTTACATTTTGGTCCCATTCACTCATGAATGGTGCCATTTCATTGCTTGCAAAACTAAGTGCTACTCTTTGGAATTCCTTTTGATCAACTTTGAGGCCGATGGAAGCTGGTTTAAAAATAAAACAGGCATTAAACACCTCAGATATACAGACAAGCACATGTACATGAGAACCAGGGCTGTGGAATGTGCATCCCTGGCTTTCTTACCCTGCCCGACCTGCAAGTTTTAAGGGTAGCTATATCTGTTATGGTGAAAGACATAATAGCAATCATGATAGCATGTTATGAATGAATATATTATTCATATTTTATAGGTCGCAGTGCTGCTGTGGACTATTAGTTCAGTTACATATCTTTCAGAAATTACGCTGAAAAACAGACATGGTACTGCAATAGGGGAGCTGGAGAGGGTTGCGGTTGTAACATAAATGTAAAGCCTGGGATTAAATAAATTTCCATATACCATTTCAGCCGAGTATGTAATACTATGTGTTGTTGATATCAATTCAATTCATGCTCCGTTGACCATTACGTGTTTTGAATGGAAGGCTGCATCCTCATGTTTATCACGTTTTTTACACCAATTTAAAAGAATCAACATTTTTCATGGTAGCTGCATATATAGGCATCAAATACATAGACYGTAAAGAGTCTAAGCATCACAAGGAGCTTTGTGTATAGAGTATATGTCACATGCTAACTAATGAAACATGAATTAGTGACTCAACAGTCATGTGAGTCATATTTGTACRAAATCAAAAAAGACCACAAATTTCCCATGGTAGCTGCATATATATATATATATATATATATATATATATATGCACAATATTAAGGAGTAGTGCTGTACATATGTCAAACTAATGAAACAATGACTTGTGTTCTCCATCATAAGTGGTTTGCAATCATACCCATGGTAAATATAACAAAAGCTAAAGAAAAATCTCTGTTGTTAGTTGGACCAACATGGTGGCATGGCTTACAAAATTTTGGTGAAATGAAAGTTAATTATTGATATTTTTTTGGATAACTGGGGAAAAAACTACAAACCCTGATGACACAGGCTGGACTAGCTGGTTATCTCTTTTAGATATATTGTGTCTCAAGCATTACATACTGGCTTCAAACCAGTTCATATTATAACAGAAATGATACAGGCTTGAGTGGTTTTATATCCTGTCTGAAACATACTGGTTTGAAACCAGTAGGTATTTCTAGATAACTAGAATTAAGGATTAACAGTATCACCAAGGCAAACAGGTATCAATTGATCAATCATGATATCTAATCCTTTCATGTTAGAACACGCTATAAAATGATGACCCAAAATTTTTTGAGCTAGTATTACATGTCTGTGATTGGTCATCCAGAACGCGTGTGAATGGTATTTTTCCACATTCGCGGCGGCACGTGACGGAAGCATGTTCCAATCCTAACAAACTATTTCGTGGATGTTTAATTTTGGATACGTCGTCATCAATGCTAAAAAATATGTAAATAAAGTAACACAATGCACCACTATGGAAGCGTACAGAGTCATACTATGACATAACCGGCGTCCATTGTAATAATTCACTTTCGCGTGTTTGGAAAATGAAACTTTACTAAGATTAGCTCAGCAATTTTGGATTAAGAAGCCAAGGTAATATCATAAGGAAGTCTTAACTATAAAGAAACTAGATTTTTTTCGCATTTTACCCTCTTTCATTATGAGCCATTTGAGAAAATCGACTCTTGCGGAAGATATTTATAAATAAAAATACTAATTTTGATGCAATTGTCCTCAAATTTTCCATATATACTCACGGTCTATACAAGAAGATGAGAGTCTTGTAATTTTTTTACTTGGTAGCCTTGATTTTAAGCTACGTGAAATAATGTAAAGGGAACTAGCTGAATTATTTCTCAATATCGTGGCAGCCATTTTGAAACTCGTAACCAGGTACTTGCGGTTGCTTGCGTAACACTTAAAAACGTACGGGGAGGGGGAGTAGACGTTACAATTGGAAAATTAATAACTCAAAATATCTCGATTTCTTATGATAATTTCGATTGTGTTCATATTGAGTAGTTCCTAGCCTAAGTATAGATATGTTTGGTTTGTTGTTAGGATCGAGTAGGGAGGTATTAGGAGGGGTTTATAGGTCGACATAGGCACCCCTCCCTATATCGAGTCACTGGCATATTCTGATCAATGATTGGTTGTAAATGACGTAGCGCTTTGAATTGCGCTAAAAATAGAACCAACTAAAGAGGATCGTTGTGTTGCTTCATCTAAATTCTGCCTTTCTTTCTTCTGCTTTTCGTACGGTCATACTAGATGATTGTACTTAACTCAGCACTTTAGATCTAGAATCGCTATATCTGTTTCTTTAGTCCTTTAACACTGTTAACCTAAGTCCTTGAAGATTTCGCGTAAACTTTCCTTGTTTGGTGCGGCTTACCTCCAAAAACCTCAGTCTTCCTTACCTTATGTTTATTCGCTTCTTGTAAGTTTACATCCTTCTAAAAACTCAAAGTTTTTAGAGTCTTGTTGTAACACCAGCATCAGTTATAAGGTGAGTAGTTCAGTAGATAGTAGACTTCCGCTGGTAGTTTTTTTGCGCTCATTTATTGCTACGCTTGAGTAGAAAAATAGTAAGCTTATATAAAAGTCACACAATATATGAATGTCGTTTGCAAATGAGCTTACTAAATTCTACTGACTGTACCGCTTTTTCTTACTTTTTTGTAGCCGAAATGACGAAATACATTGTGCATTCTTAATACAAGTTTCTATTTTGAAACAAAAAAACGCAGTTTCTTTGAAGATTATATTGAGTTTTTGTCTTTATGGAGCACATGGTTTTTTCGTGGGCAAATCTCCTTCAAATGTGCGAAAAAAAAAGTTGAAAACAAAAAAATGGTCAACGTGAAGACTTTTGTTATTCTACAATTGTCATTGAAGTATATATTTGTTACTGTTGCATGATAAAATTTTGGGGCCAAGATTTTCGTTTGTTTATATAAAAGTGAACTTTTTTTATTATTTACATATTTTTCAAAAGGGAGGGGTGGCCCAGGTTATGAAAAAATGGAAAAAAAAAAGAAAAAAAAGAGCAAAAACTAAAACCGAATCAATTAGGTGAATGTTCAAAAACTCAAAGGAACTTTGAACTTTAAATTTGTTGAATGTTTTAAAAATACCAAATTTAAAGTATGGGATAAATACATGGAAAGATATAACTAGCTAAAAACTATCATATATACACTCCTTTCTACCACTTCTTTCTCTTTTACTCCGACGAAGGACTAGCGTCCGAAACRTMAGTTTTTTCATCTTTTCACGGTGTATAATTTACTTTTTCATCATTACTGGATAAATACATGGTAAAGTATTCAAAAATTTTAATGGCARACAAGATCTTTGAGAGATGAGTTTTGTCAAATTGAAGGAACAAATATATAATAGCCATCTTTATTTCCATATTTTTTTAGGTTTTTATTTAATACAGACTGAATATGTTTTTAATGCCTTTTTTGCTAGACTCCATATATATTCAGTAAACATTTTTGACACATACAAGCAAAACCTTAAGATTAATTTAATATTTAAAATAAAAAATACTAAATGCTGTCTTATATAAATATCAACTAAAAAGGGTTTTCTATAAATTTGACATTTTCTTGACCCACTATACTGGTATTAAAAAAGTTATTTTATGTATACCAAATAAGGAATAAATATAATTTGAAATATTTATGAAGTTTTACATTCCTTTCTCAACTTGATGTGGCATATAAAGTTACCTTAAGGAAATTTAATAACCCTCAAGTTATCTTCATCTTCAAATGTTTCTGAATATTTGAGGTGATAGCAATTACTAAGCATTCTTTGACAGTGTGATCATCAATGTTTGAAGATTATATTGATAAGTCTTAAACAAACTCACTGCAGGCGAATTCATCGCGTTTAGAAACTAGAAACTGCTTTTTTGTTTTTTATTGGCATGTCAGCTAAAAAATTTAATAGATCAAGAACGTTTTTGATTGGCATGGCAGGTTTATTTTTACAGTGTTGTAGTTTCATCTGATGTTTAATAATGAATTTATCATGTCTAAATTTAGTGTATTGTAGTGGTTGGTAACAGATTTAACTGTTATTAACTGTTCTCATTTATTGAATTTAATGTAGAATATAGATCTATTAAAATCATTTAGTTTGAGAAAGAATTCATTCCTACTGTATCTTTTGGCCGGGGACATTACAGTTTGTAATATTATTATCTAGTGATTATATCCACACTATTGGAAATTAGGCCATGACTGATGATACTGCCTTAAAAGAATGCTATGACTGAATAAATTATGTAAGGATTTGAAAGAGTAAAAAGTACATGTGTGTACACATATCTATATCATACGAAATAGTTTGAATTTGAGTAAACTTTAAAAAGGTAAACATTTATAACACCAAAAGATAAGCTGTGAATGTATGTCATGTTGATCTCTACTCTCACAGTTCTAGAAGACCTTTGGACTGACATTTGGCATTATGGTGGACACACATATATTAACTTTGATGAAACTGCAAGTTATAAATGACTTTTTTAGTAAAGTAAAATAAAATAAATTTTTTTTTTTCAAAATATGAATAAATCATATTATAAAAAGCCACACATTTTCAGCATTGAGTGTATAGTTGAGTTTAGTAAAACAATTAAACTCCTTTTATTATTATTTTTATCCTTGAAAATTAATTTGATGTAATATCTATACAAAAGAGACCCTTCTTGAAAGTGCTGTAAGCTGAAACAGGAAGAAACCGATAGAGATCCCTGCTGTTACAGGAGGTACACCACACAGGGAGTTTGTTCTGTGCACACATAATATCTTGTATGTGCCAAAACCTGTTTCTTTGTGAGAATTTATCAGCAAACATATTTACAGTATCTGAACATGGATTACCGTACATGTACTGTAGGTTACTGTGAAAATCTACTCTTGACCTAAACTTTTTTAAACTTTTTTTGTTTATACTCAAAAATTATATATTTAAGAAAAAAAGGAGTTCTATTTGGGAAATAAAGGAATATATTTAATTATAATTCATATCAATGTCTAGTATAGTAAATATGTACATGTATTGAGCAAGTTTTTAGATATAGACGTTGTTACGAAGTGCATGTTTGATTGATAATTATTATTAATGCTTATAGTAACCTCTAATTTTATAGCTGCTCTTTAACACCAAAAGCACCCTTACGTACACTGTACATGAATATAAAAAGTACCTTGCTTTAAATTAATTTATTATTGACCAAATTAGGAAGTAATATATATATATGTTCTTGATTGCAGGAAGGTTGTGGTATAAATTTATACATGATTATATTAGTATATACAAATACCTGATTGGATGCAAAAACAAGAAGAAAAAAAAACTCTTTACCCATTCCTTCATTCAAAAAAATGCTATTTTTTGAGATGATGAATCCATGAAGAATATACAAAAAAATATGATTTGAGCACAATGAGATGTTATTAAATATATATTAGAGAATTTTTAGGCCAAAAAAGTGAAAATATATACTACTTGCAAAAACATTGTCATACGAAAATAGAACATTAGTGATTTAGTGGGATAGGAATATTATATTAAAAAACAAAAGAAGATCACTGAAGCTGAACTTTTTCTTTTGTCTTTTAATGTATTCCTTTCTCACTAAATTAGTAATGTTCTATTCTTGTATGACAACCTTCTTGCAAGTATACAGGTGTGTACATAACTATATTTTTGGAGTTTTTCCATTTTTGCATTTCATTAGATATTTACAAGTACAATGTACGTATGCATAAATGCACATATTACGACCTTTCCGCAATTGATAGTATATATATATATAACTTTATACAAAAGTTTTCTGAAATAAAATACACTTTAAATTATTCTTAGTATTTTATATATACTTCTAGGACTAAACGTAATATATGCCCAGGCAAAACATATTTCAAAATCTAGATAGGCACACGTAGAAATAACAGGAACAGAATAACAGGAACAGAATAACAGGATCTATAAATCATGCGCAAAAAATAAAACAGGTCTAGAATGTTCAGACTGGAACAAAACAACTAAAAATAGTTGGACTACCTGTGTCTGTTCTTATTTCTAGCGAAAAAGAAAAAAAGAAAAAATAATCAATAATTAAAATAAAAATCATGGGGTTCAAAGCATCATGCACTTAGACATTCTATAATATTATATAGAAGAACAACCATATTAAAATAATACTAATAATACCTACTTGCTTGATTATTTCTCCCCGGTATGCTTGTTGCTTTGCACACTTTGCTATAAGGTGTATTACTTATTACGCATGTTCTCATATAAGGTGTAGAGTGCTTATATCACATTATACAACTGACGTTATGGATACATATCACATTTAATGAATTAATCAGTAACATTAAGCATGCAGGAAGTGATGTAATGTATGTACTGTAGGCATGAAGGAAGCTGTGAAGAGAAGCATGAGTCATAGGCAAATACTTCTTACACTTCTTGAGTACTGTACTTTTCTGTACTGTACTGTATGTTTTGGACGACCTGCATCCATCTTTAATTATTGTAATTTACGTTAAAGAAAGAAAGAAAGGTCTCAACTGTATTTGTTAATGTTGTTTTCTTACAATTCTTTGCAAAGTTTGCTGTGTGCGGATGGTGTCAGCAACTCAGTGCTTATTTCACTATTATATCACACTTCTTGACCAATCAAAGAGTGCGTACTACAGCTGTATCTAATTTAATCAAATTTAAAAAAAGATTGTTCTTAATTTGAACATTTTAAGTGTATTGAATTTAATTTGTAGTGTTTACAACTTGAGTGGCAGTGTTTTATCAGATATACTTGTAACATGGATGTTCCAAAAACACAAATATTCGATTTTTATTATAATTATTGTACTTGGTTAGGTTTTACTAAAAAAAATCCAAATTAAGGTACTAATAATGCAAAAAAGACAATTTTGCATGTTTTAAATGTAAAAAAATATTGAAAAAAAAAATGCCTTGCCAATCATTTGTATATGTAATAGGACTCCATGCTGTCCAATTAAGGAATATTTGGACAAGAAAAATTCTGTACAGTGCATGTAATTTTGATTGTGTCTTCCTTGGTCATGAATATTAATGAGTTGAATAGGGGATCCAGAGCTTAAAGGTGCCATTAATAAAAATGAAATAAAGTCAATTCTATAATAGGGCTATCAATTGCTGCATATACCTGATTTTCCCACTTTTCTATAAATGTTGCTATTTTGGTCATCACTGTAAGGCTTCAGATCAACAACCTTTAGTTAATAATATATATTATTATTAATATTTTATGTCAAAATAAAATTCCGGTAAAACTGAAGCTACATTGACATTATTAAGTCCTTGAAGATTTAAGAATAAATTAACCCAAAATAATTATGTAATATGGTGTCGGCAAATTGTTATTTTTGAACATACCTAAATTAGAAAATCACATTTTTCATGATGAAAATAAAGTTAGTAACTTGTTTGYGTAATTTGAAAACACACACACACACAAAATGATGCTCAACAAACAATACAACAACAAAAAGATAACTGCCGACCTGATTGGGGAGGGGTAATTCCTTTTCACGTGACTACATTGTTCCTTTATCGCTAAATTATTAACTCTAACAATAATAATTGAATTCTTGATCTTTAGTTATAAAATAAGTTCTTGGGGTCTTCAATCTTCAATAATTATTAAATTCCTTTACTGTTTTTCCTTCCTAAACAAAAACAGACATTTAGACATTCTGGTTAAATTGGGTGTTTTTTGCTCAAACTCTTGACTGGTTCAAAGAAATGCTGATGAAATGCATGCTTTCATTATTCTAAATATAGAATCATGAAACAGACATTTTGCTAAGTCAGCTTATTAGTTAGTCAATTTCTGTCCTTATATAAAACGAGGTTTTAGTGGTCAGCCTGGATATCATACATGTACCTATTGTAAGTTACTGTAAATCAGGTTCTGGTCTTGCAGGCATCGAACTGTTGGATTCCTGTTTGTGAAGGCAGAAAATGTATGTAGAAAAATTCAGGCCAGGTTCTAACGAGGCACATGGGCAAATGTTTTATTTTTTTTATTTTTCCTTTGCTTGGGTCAAGATAGTAAATGTCTTCTATTAGCTGTTTATAGTTTAAAAAATACTGAAGTTTATTATTGCCATTATTATATATAATTATTATGAACATTACTAAGAGAATTGTCAAATTACAGTAGTCATTGCTCTAAGTTCTTCTAATCTTAATAATCTTGTAATATCCATCAGGTGAAATTAAGATATTCATGAGAGGGATTTAAAAATTGAACGTGTTATATTTATTAACAGTTTTTCTTTTTCTTTTTTATTTAGCAACTACCAATCTCAAGAATCAAACTGGAAACTTGCTCATCTTCACACCTGTAACTGTAAAATGCAATCAATCCTTTCTCAGCAACTAGCAGAATACATTCTCGGACATAACCTTCAAAAACTACTCATAATCGATAGCAGATCATTTTTGGAATATAATGATGGACACGTTACACAATCCATTAATATTGGCTGTTCAAAACTCATAAAAAGACGTCTGATTTCTAACAAAATTACAATTCATGAACTCCTTAAAGGAACATCCGAAGAAACAACTCAGGACCATTGTCAGGTTGTTGTTTACGACCAGTCAACTATGGACACGTCATCACTAGCAAAGGACAATTTTATGTTTGTTATTTTAAATAAGTTGGTCAAGAGCTTCAAGGATGTTTGTTTTCTAAAGGGTAAGTTGTCCATATTAATAGACGTTACAGCTAAAATTAATAGCTGGTCATACATATCTGAGTCGCTATTGATGATGACTGGTTATAGCTGGGCTATAACTTGTTTCTGGCATATGTTACTCATCAAAATAACAGACAGGAAAGCTAGGCAAAGAATGGAACAGCTCTAATTCTGGCAGGACATATTGTTCAGTGACCGTACATTATTTTTAGCTCTGGATATAAATTTAGTTTAACTGATAGTTGATCATTAATAGTCAATATTATCGACAAAGCATTGACAGATTACTGTATTCAAAACTACTCAGACTTAGAGGAAAGTACCGAAGGCAAAGACTGTGACTGAAGTCAAAGTATACAGTATGCATGGTTCTGAATTCAAGTAACAACATTCTGCTCAGCAACTGAACATTAAGAGGCTGAAATCCATCTACTGTTTTTCCATGATCATTTCAGATCAGCTATCTTTTCCTTGAAAATTATTTCTTCGTTGATAGTAATTGTGATGCTGAATGTTTGTACAGCTACTGTACAAAATTATTATGGATAACACTCAAAGCAATACTGTACGTAAAGTATACATGTATTACGAATTAAGTGAATATAGTTTTCTCATTTTGCCATCTATTTTATTTCCATAGGAGGTTTTTCTTACTTTTCCAAGACGTTCCCAGAACTTTGTGAATCACACTCCAACTCTACCTTCCACAAAAGTCCACGAACAATACTGTCTCAACCCTGTTTGACATCAGAGTTTGAATCACCGTCACACATACTTACATTCTTATATCTTGGAGCACAAGAGCATGCTCTTGATGCAGACTTTAGAAAAGCTAACGGCATTGACTTTGTGTTGAATGTTAGTTGTCTTTGTCCTGTGCCTGCGAATCTAGATAGTAGCACACACTACATGAGAATACCTGTACGAGACTCAGTACAGGAAAACATAATTGACTGGCTACCAACAGCATTCGAATTTATAGGTAAGCAAACACAGAGATTTACTCTAGTTTACGGGAATACCACTTTATTATGATGTTTAGTTTTGGGAAGCATGGGTGGTGCGCAATGCTAATTAGTGTCCCCTCACCAATGCTGGCCCCGGGTTCAAGTCTTGCTGGTATCGGTGTTGTATGTGAGTAGAGTTGTTTGTTGTTCTCTCCTGTGCTTCATGGGTTTTTCTCTGGGTTCTCCTGTTTTCCTCCCTGATCATTAAATTAATCAACTTCTAATTTAAATTCAAATTGGATATTTGGGCTTTCACCTTATAGTTTGGAGCCTAGCTCTGTTTTGATTGTCCCAAGCTGGGAAACAACAGCCAAAGTGTATGGACACTCTTAGCTTGGTCTTCATCATATGCATGTATGTCATAACAAACCATACTGACAATAGTATTAGCAGAATGCATTCTCACTGATAAAGCTGTAAGAAAACTGTAAGAAAGTGGTGCACTGCCTTCTCACCTCTAGGATCTAGGTTACTGTACTCACTAAATTACATGTGAGTAGAGTGTTACATGTAGGTCTCTCTTGATTCAAGGGGGTTTCTCCAAGTTCTCTGGTTTTCCTTCCTCTGAAAATCCTAACACTATCCAATTTGCTATTGAATTAGCCATACCCTAAATTTGATTAACCACGAGTTTGTTTCAGGGTATCAATAAATTTAAAGGTTTGCCAGACTGCTTGTTTAATGTATAATCTAACATACATTGTAGCTTATGTACATAAATGAGTAGTATCCTGTGTTCCTTCAAACTGTTGGCAATTGCCCTATTTCACTATGACGTCACTGCTTGTTTATGTGGGGGATAGAATCGCCAAATCCAATAGAAAATCCAACAAAATTTGCTCCTAGCGAAACAGTTTAATCTAAAATGGCCTGGTTTTCAGATATAATATGTGTTAATATGTACTAAAAAATATTCTGAGCGTTTGCTGGCTATTCTACTTCTCTTCGTGGATTGATACGGGTTTTAGAACAATTTTCAGTGAATTTGCATTGATTTGACCCCCTCAGACGACCATGATCCTTTGCGTTTAAACAATAGATTGTTTTGATGTGACGTCATAGTGAACTAGGGCAATTCCATACTTTAATCATTTGTTTAAGTTCGTTCATTGATTTATGTTTCATTTTTAGATAAAGCTCGTGAAGCAAATAGTAGAGTTTTAGTTCACTGTTTTGCTGGCAAGTCGCGGTCAGCAACAATAGCCATTGCTTACATCATGAAGCATCTGGGTCTTCCACTAGACGAAGCCTACAGGTTTGTTTATTAATTTATAATACCAGAATAAATGGATAAAACCCTTTGCAGCACTTTGGAATGCAGGGGGATAAAACAATAGATTCCAATACTCAGGAGATTGGAATTCTTTTGTTTTGTCCCCCAGATCAAGCTGTTTTGACGCCACATGCAAGGGGTCTATAAGAACAGAGAGATGAATGATACAGAAAAGGAATTTGATATGTTGTGTGGCCTGTGTTGTTGAAAACTGCTCTAAAGTAGAGCTCAGTGATGTGACAGAAAAGTCACTCTTAATTTTATGTAATTCCTGTTTTGGCCACTGAGCAAGTGATTTAATCACCAGAGGGTGTGTATAGATATCAAGTGATTTAAGCTTTGAAGCTGTATTTTCTTAGTACTTGTTTTTTGAGAACTATGGCCTAGAGTTGAGAATTCTCGCCTCTCACCACACTAGTTCTCTCATTTGCCTCTGGGATTTTTCTTTCCAATCTCCGGTTTTTCTCCCTTGGCTCTGCAAAGATCAACTTCTAATTTGAAATTTGAGCTTAGGAGATACATGTATTCACAATAGGGGTAACCTCTTATATTTCCTTTTGCAATATAATCTGAATACATTGGTTTTTATTTTATTTTATTGAAGTCTACCTTGTAAAGAGGAGGGAGGGAGGGAGGGAGGGAGGAAGGAATGGATGGAAAAGGAGCCAACAAAAAAATCAAACCTCACTTATTAATGTAATAAATGTGAGGCCATGCATCCCTAAATAAGATCAAATGAATGAACAAATGAAYTGACCAATAATTTTTTTAGGTTTGTTAAAGAAAAACGTCCCACAATATCCCCAAACCTCAATTTCATGGGTCAACTAGTGCAGTTTGAGAAAGATCTGACTCCATCACCCAATGATTTCAAGCAGGAGAGTTTTGGTCATCAACTCATGAGCAGTGGGAGCTTAACAGAGTTGACAGCAAATGTCTAAAGCTAGGTATATTATTAGTATATCATTATATTAGTATCATTATTATTATATATAGTATTGTAAATATCAGCTGCCTTTTTTTAAACAAAGCCAAAGGATTATACAGAATATTATTATAATGTGAGTATAATAGATGTGAGAGTTTGTAATATGGTGCTAAATCATACCCTCAACATTACTGGTCAATATGACTGGCAAAGCAAAGATTTGACTAGGCAAGTTCCAATTTTGGGCACACATTACGTGCCTGTTGTCAGGCCGATATTTTAAGCCCTGCTTTGCACCTTCACAGGCATCTCTCTGTTTTATTTTTTTCATTTGTGGGCTTTTTGTGTATTTAACAAATAGACTTCAGTTTTCTATTTGTTTTTTTCACAATAACAAAAATGGTAAAAACTTCTCATTTTTACTGATCAAAACAACCAACGGAAAGTCCGCGCGCGCGTTGACGTCAGCTTTATCTGTCTGTCCTCTTATTGATGATAAAAATAACCAATCGGTGCGCGAGAAATTTCTAAGTTATTGTAAAAATGAAAATGGTTGAGAGCCTGGGGTGAGAGAGACTTGCAACAGGAAGCCCAGAGAAGCTAAATTTAAAAGAGGGGATGGCACTAGGGGTGAGGGAAGGGGTGTATGGGTATTTTCTGAGCGTAAATCAAACTAATAATATGTAAGCCACAATGTTACTCAAAGGAACTTTAGATTTCTTATTATTGACTAAAGTGTACTAAAGTAAACTAAAGATCTCTTTGGTAGCCATGGCAACAAACTGTAAATATTGGGCTTTTTTGTCCTTCATTTTTAGCCTTGTAAAGTTTTCGATTGAGTACTAGGGGAGGGAGGGGAGGGAATCTTCACACTACTGACCTGTTAAATTAGTTGATATTTTTTTTAAAGAAACAAAAATTGTATTTAAGTAGAGACAATTTTGGACAGCTGTCGTTAACCACTCCACCCCACCCCCCAAAGTAAGGACCGGCTTTGCGTGGCTGTTTTTTGCATGGAAGACCAGTCAAGGGTAGATATAGGACTTTTGATCTGGGGAGTTCACAATAAAAACAAATGGCAATTTTACATTCTCTAAACTCTAAGTTGCTATTGCCACATTTTTGAGAAAATCCTTTGTAGGAAAGATGTTCATAGGCAAACATTTAGGCTTCTTTTCGAACAGGCAGCCCAAACAAGGTATTCGTGTATGGTTTATTAAGGAATGTATGGAAGTTATGATAGAGATATAACAATAAAATGTTTCACTCATTAATTTGCTTCAAAACTTTCTTCAATCGTTGCTTATACCTTGTTCAGTCTTCTGGTGAGTTTCAGCGTGATTTGAGGCCGTTGAGTCAAACGTCGGACTTCACAGGAGCCGAACCTAATCACATCAAAGAAACTCATGTGAAGTTCGACGTTTGACCTGAGCCGTAGTTTTTTCATCATGTTTTCTTCATCATAACTCCTATACCTTAAAAACCGCGCACAGRAACCTTGTTTGGGCTGCCTGTGCCATGCTTGACCAGGATAAAATCATTTTGCATAAAAGCCGGCTGTATTTCTGCTCTGAATAACACAATTTATATGCTGAAATATTTTTAGTAAACAAATCCTACATACATTTACACAAAGAAATTCAAATACTTCACATTTTCAAATATTTCAACATCAGTTTTTATGACTTAATTATAATTCAAGGCGTTCTCTCCCTGACACAAAGAGACTTAACTGATTTGCAAAATCTCAACGGCGCCATCAACCGAGAGTGTAAATACATGTACTTCACTTGCAGTTTAGCGCTTTCAAAGTCTGTCTTCCCTGTGGATGAGTTGATTTTACTGACAATGTTTTGAATGAAATTTGCAATGAACAGCACCCAAAGAGAAATTATTTCCAATTCCGTTTGACGTCGCCTTCGTAGATTTTGCAAATCCAAAGTTCCCTACTGCCACTACTAAGCTCCGTCTACTGGGTGCGGGTAAAAAAGAGGGGGCCTGGTACCTGGTTGTGTTTTTTTATGACGCACCTTATTCAAATTCATTTTACTATGACAAACTTTCTCTTTTGTGAATTGATCTGATCAAACATTAACGACAAGCTCTTGTATATTGGAATTTACTCTTTTTAGCAGATTAATCAAAGATTACACCTTTTCAGCTTGAGTGTACTGACGCCCAAGCTTGTAAGGGCTATTAATATGCAAAGGTGAAGAAACGTGTTTTTTTTTTTAAATAATGAAACTTGATCATGTCAAAAATTGTAGCCAAGTATTTGGCAAAATAGACTATACGGGTAGAAACGATAGAAACTAAAACTTAAGTCCTAAGAGGGTTTTCTGAAATAAGCTAGTTGGGGTATTTATTCCAAGAAAGCAACTTGACTCTGAATATGGTCAGTGAGGTCTAGACGCAGGGAGCCCACTTAAGATATAAGTAAGTTATAGAAAAAAATCGCCATTTTGCA